GTATTTTTATACCTCGACTCTTCCATTCGTACGAATATAAATCCGGTGGTTTTCGTTTGGAGCGCCGTGAGGCCCCAATAACGATTCCAGGGCGGAATGCGCGCTTTTATCAATGGCAATGTAATTCATGAAATCCCCCGTAATCGTAATAAAACTTATTGTTAACCGGCACTTGTAAATCGCGGCCCTTATCACCGGGGACGGCCAATTAAAAGCACTAACTATATACTAAAAAAAAAAGAAGAGAAAAATTTACACGCCGCCTAATTGGACTATGGGAATACCGAAAGCGAACAACAAAACTGCAAATAAATAAATTTATAAAAAAAAAGAAGTAAACTAAGATGTATCTTCATCTCGCTTTGTTTCCCACGATACTAATGGCACTAATAATATTCGTAATGAGTTTATATTTCGCGCTATAATTGCGCTAATTGAAATACATGAATAATAACTGATCCTGCCGCAGGATAATGCAAGGTAGGCGTTATAAAACTTTATAGTTATTCTGCGTAGGTTATATAAATTTCATTAATTAAAATACCATAAAGAATGTTTCTTTATCTAAAAGAGATTCGGTTTTAAGTGAAATTACGGACTGGAAACTTCTTCACTCGTTTACTTTTGAATTTATTTATTTTCGCTACGAATTACCGTTTCTCTTCTCTCATATTTAAATTTTTCTTAATAAAATTCACACAAACAAATGTTATTTTATTTCATATTCAGAGTAATTTTAATATTTTTGTATTTCTTTTTAAATTAATTTAGTTTTCAATTTATTTCAAATACTAAACAAAATAATTAATTGATTTATGAACTGTTTTATGTAATAATTAAAAATTGTGTAATCATACAATATGTCACATAACTTACTCTATTTGAAACAAGTTTAACTCTTTTTTATTGTAATTTAAGAAATATAAATTTATAAACCTTATACACATGCATTTTTCATATATTTAAAACAAATTGTAAAGTGCAATTAAAATTACAAAAGAAAATCGCGTTACGTGATTAGTATTACATGCAATAAACTGTTTCACTGGTAAATATGTACATTTCTTAACATATTATTATCTAGAAAATTTAATTGAAATAATGTAATTCCTGCATAATTTACTAATAATTACATGTATTATAAATATATATTGTTTGCAAATTACTTAAAAAAAATAACACAAGTATAAGAATATAATTAATTACATTTTATTCTTAGATTATATATTTATTTGATTATTATGTAAGAAACTTTCTTATAAAAAAAATATTTAACAATCAAATTAAATTATTTATTTACAAATTTGTATTTGTCCCATAAAAGAATTGCATAAATTAAAATTTTTCATAAAGAAACAATGTTGATTTCCTTTATATTCTCTACTATTCTTTTTAAATTAATTTATATGCAGTAGCTTTGAGAGCTTTTGAAATGTAAAGTGCACTTCATATTATGCTTTCAAATGGGAGAAAACTAAGACGATCGATAAGAAATTGCTGCCATCGCTTTGCCTTCACGAGACCGCACATATTCAGACATTATTTTTGTTTTCCTGTTGTTCAAATGCGCCTTTTGAAATGTAAAGTGTCCATATTATGGCTAAGTTAAGTAGGAAAATCGATGTCAACAAATGTATGCAACGTTCCCGTTTCTCAATTTAATACAATTTAATTTACATTACATGAAAACTATCAAAGTTTTATAATACTCCATTATCTGAATTTATTTAAATATATTTATTGTTCAGCTTTTAGATTTAATTTTACGTAAAAGTAATTGAAAAATATTAAATAAGAGAATATTTTTGTCATAAATTCATATAAATATTTTTATAGTAATTTTATTACTTTTTATTGATATTTTCTTGCAATTCTTACATAAATTTATACAATTTCATTAAATTTACTTTATTTGGAAATAATAGCGCAATTTAAGTAATTTATTTAAGTAATTATTCAATATAACAAATTTTGATATCTATTAGTAAAAAAAACGTACAAATTTGTCAATATTTCATTGACTTTACAATTTTTTTATGAATTCACAAAATGTTATTGATTCAAAATTGATTCAATAAAATTTGGAACGATTTTAAAATTTAAAATTTGTAAAAAAAAATATTTTTATTAATTTTTCCTTGCAAATCATACAAATATTTTCCATCATTAAATTTAATTTATTAAGAATTAATAGCGCAGTAGTTAATTTAAAGAAAAAATGTGATATTTGTATATTTTTTATATATAAATGTGTTTTGAAAAATGTTTTAGTTATGTAACAAATCTATTTTTTAAGATTTATATGATTATTGTATGAATTCAAAATAATATTTTCACTTTTGTTAAATGCGTGGAAAAATGTTGTCCAAAATTAGTTGAGCGCGTTTTCAATGTATAAAACGGAGTGAATGGTTTTGCTGGTATTTGTATGGTAAATAAATCGTGTTTGGATCGTTTTTATTTTGGTATATAAACAGAAACGGATGTTTCATTTGGGTCGAAGATGGATTATAAGAATCAATGATCTCTCTGCATTACGCCTTTCGTACCTGGTTTAGAATTGGAGTGAATGAATGGATTTATGGTCGTTTCGGTTTTTATCGATGTCCGCAGTTTGTAAGTAGCCGCGACTCTCTTGCAAGAAAGAAAGAGAGAGAAGGACTTTAATTAAGTTACTTCTTAGCAGTTCGGCGTTTGATGGAGCTTAACGGCTTCGCCAGTTAATAAAACCGATGATGATCTGCCTTTACACAACTACAAACGATGATCTGATGATCATCGCAGGAAGAGCGACGAGGAATTTAATTGCTGCTGCTACTTCTTTATTTGTTTACCTTCTCTTTTTTTCTATATCATCCAACTGTTGGATGCGAAGGGCTTCGATCTTTACGTTTTTCCGGTTTCCGTAATTTACTTGACAACGTTTACGATTGTGTGTATTCTCTCTGTGTGTGTTTGTATGTATGTATATACACACACGTATGAAATTACCTATAAAAGCCAACGGAATGAAGTGTAAACGGTTGATATTATAGCTGCGAAATGGCCGTCGGTGAGCGCGCAAGAGTCGAGAGCTCTGGGACCGGTTAGGATCCCGTCGAGGCACGCCCGTTTATGGCCGGCAAAGACCCCGAGATGAAAACAAAATAAAGTAACGAAAAAATATATATACACACATACACAAAAAAAAAGAGGAGAAGTAACAAATAAAATAAACACGCACTCATCTCAACAATAATAATAAAAAATATCGATTTTAATTCGCGTTTTACTAAATCACACTCAAATTTTAATCCATTGATAAAGTGATAAAATGAATGAATGTGTACATTTGTATTTATTTAAAATACCTTTAAATTAAATAGTAAATAATTATTACTAGATTGCACTCAAATTAAACTTTTAAATCCATTGATAAAGTTGAATTAATATGTAATAATTGTAATTTATAAAAATCAATTTATATGAGACAGTAAATAAAATAATTAAGAATAGAAATTGTATGAATACTAGAACGTATTCAAATTAAACTATTTAATTAATTGTTAAAGTGAATGAATATGTAACTTTTTGTAATTATTTAAAATAAATTTAAATTAAACAGTTAATAAAGTCAAAAAGAATTAAAAAAAACTATATCAAGTTTCAATGAAAACATTGATTTGTAACTTATTGAAATAATAAAGTCTTAAAATAAATAAGAAACAACAAAAAATATAGTAAAGACAGTTCAATTAATGTATATAATTTGGATTAAATTATTAATAGCGCCATAAATTTACATAGAAATTAAGCTCACAAATCCAATTTTAAAGTCAAATTTTGTAAAGTTATTGAAAAAATTCAATATTAGAAAAGAAAACGATTATATAATAAAATGAATAAAATCAATAATATTAAATTATTTAGATCTTGAGATTTTCTAAATAATAAAATATAAATAAACGTAGAATGATGGCAGAAATTATATATTTACTAAATTATTATGACTAGTTTTAATAAAGTATTGATTTTTTCAAGGAGTTAAGATTTGCATTTAATGTTTATATTAATAATTATATAAAATGTAGGGATATTAATAAATTTTTGCAGTGTTATTACAATTATTATATAATAATAAAGAAACGTTCTTTTTTGTATTTGTACTTGTTTTTTGTGTATAGAATACATTTTACTGTACTAAAAAACGTGACTATTTTGATCCAATTTTATATAAATCACTAATAGATTTGAATCAAAGTGTTTGAGGAAAATAATGAGCTCATAAAAGCTTCTTTATTTGTATATAATTTATTAATGTTATATATATGTTATATTTATGGAAAAGACACGAGGATTTAAATATTAATATATTTACTTTAATACAAAAAAATCAATTAAAATCTAATATAAATTAAATAAATAAAACAAATACGTATACAAATTTTTCTAAAAGTTTCATAGTGCAAAAATATATATTAAGTATTGAATCTCAAAAAGTACATACTTATATAAGAAAGTAAACATCGATCCGGATGTAATACTTTAATTCATTATTATTAATCCTCTAATGAATCTACAACCACAATATAAATAACAAATAATATCAATGAAAATCGATTGATAAATTAACTTAACACACGCACTTAAAACGTTGAGATTTGACAAATCCACTATACATTTTGAACTTTAACTAAATACAACACAAATTTAACAACAATGTTAAACACGAGACGAGATTTCGTGAAAGTCTGTAGACTCAACCGATTTCAAACTTGTACTAAGCCTGAAAATCCATATTTTCTCTATTTTTTTCCTTAAAAAACGTGCATTTATTGCCCCAATAACTTTCTAAAATACCTTTTTTTAAACGATTTTTTTAAAAAAAATTGTAGAAGAATAAAAGATGTACCTAAAAAAAGGAAAAAAAAAACTTTCTCTGGGTGGTTTTTTAAGGGATGCGGTGAAAGCGTTTGGAAGAAGAGAGTCCAGTTTTGATGCTTTTTCGGTGGCGTCGAGGCGCGGTATTTTACTCTGTGTGTGTATGTATATATTTGTGGATGTGTGTGAATACAGTGACTTCCCTTTCCGCGATGGGTGCATGTCCGGGACTACTTCTTGGCCGGCGGCTCGGTTTTTACGAGGTGAGACAAAGGCAAAAGTAAATAAGAACCGCATGCGATTCGAATCTAACCTGTGAACTTTCCACATGCAAATATCCCACTTGTAACTCCGGCCGAGATAACCCGTAACGTATAACCCGGCCGGCACATAACCTATTATGACATGTCTATTTGAAACACATACACAGAGAGAGAGAGAAACACTCCGCGAGGTACAAGATTTCTAAAATTTACGGGACAGAGGATGAGAAAAGAGAAATACGCGCGTCTAGGTTTATATGTGGAACAACTTGCTATAACAACAACAACAACAACAATGAGATGATGCATATAGTCCTACAAAATGAAATGCGTAAAACTAACTAACGATGATGACGGAGGGATGCGGTGAATCCTCTAAAATAATAATCGAATCACCTTGTAACTCACTCTTTTCAGGTGATAAACCTGTCGTCGGGTTTATCCATCGCCTGAAAGTGTAAAAGGCGTCGGCCATCATTGCGTGCGTGTGTATATGTGTGTGTGATGAGTGTGTCGTCGGGGAAAACGCGCGTTGCGTAACCCGGGCTCTGTCGCGTACCTCGGGCTCCTGTGGTGGTGGTGGTGATCATCAAAGGTTCTGAGGTGAGCACATCAAACATAGGTGTACGTAGCTAATACTATCCGATTCGCGTCTATCTTTTTCGATTGGAATTCACCTCGAAAAACGGATTATCCCCATTTTTTTTTCCATCATCCACACAGCCAAATTCATGGCGCATCAGAACCGTCGGCATCGCACCAAACATGGCCGATGCCGCGGCGGCGCAGACTTCCATCCCGAATCCGGTTTTTATAATTCGTACCTGCAGCGACACACACACAAACCATACCACAACCACACACATACACACAACCCATTTTTTACTACCATCATTACTCATTATTATCCCAATCAGATATTATTTAAAATACGCTTTAAAACGTGCGCAATATTTATAATATTGTATTCCTCTGGAGAGCATCTCTATCTCTCTTTTACACACTCAAACACAAATAACCCAACTATTATTATACGCTTTTAGGGGATGGCCGTTTGCCATCGCATACCTTTTCTATAATTCGCCCCAATTTTTTTTTCTTCTCTTCTATTCTTTCCACCTAAAGAACCCGACCCGTCCGAACGATCCCAGTCCATTCCCCAAATCCGTTGATGCAACAAGGTAAAAATCCGATCCGTCCGCATAGCGCATAACAAGGTAAATCGCTTCTTTTTTTTTATTGTACATCTTGTTCTTCTCTTCTGCTTCCATTCCGCGGGATTGGCGTTTATTGAGAGATTCTCGGATAATCGCAGACCGCGAACAAAGAGATCTTTTCTTTTTTTACCTTTTCTTCTTCCTCCGTTTCGTTCTTAGTTAAGTGCGTGAAAACGCAACAAACGCCAGCTTCTATGAACTAATCACTAGAAAAACCAATTGTGCAATTCCTTACAGTTTCATAACTAACTTAATCATTAACTTAAATTTACACCAAGATCATATTAATAATTCAATTGCCTTAATCCTTATATTAATCTGGGTAATCTCACGTTTGAAATTCTTACTGTTAAATATTTAAAGACTAAACAAAAAAACTGTTAATTTGTACTTTTACTACTTATAAAAATAATCAATTTATTTGAAATTAATAACTCTAAATTTTAATTAATTGTATTAATTTGCGTATAAAGTTCTTTCGCGCAAATTAAATAACACTAAATTATCATTATATGGTGGAAAAATTATGTAAGTATGTAAATATTTTGAGCAAATATGTAAGAGAAACCGAATGTGCGATGAAAAAAAAACTGTTATTAGTCGTTTCGATATTATTAAGGTCGAGCAGACAGTTTACGGCCAATAATATTGGCGTTACGTCGCGCATAAATGTCGTGGCCAATTGGAATTTATAATATTATCAAGAGCGCTTTTTACATCTTCATTTGAATACGGTTTTAGTCAAATACCATCACACCGTTTTCAGAAACATTTGCACACATTTTTATTTGATTACATAATTTCGCACCTTATGTCTATCTTGTAAATACACTAATTTAATTAGATTTGCGAAAATTATGAATATCAAAATATTTATAAATATAAATCATAACAACAATTGAAAGATTGTCAAGAAAATGTAAAGAAATTTCTGTATTATTTGACTCACAATTGCGCTTAAATAAAATCTGCGTATTCGAAATGTACGTTAAAATAAAATTTTATTTCAATATGTTTCAAGCAAAATCTTGATGCTTAGATTACTTCATTCATTGTTTCGACAACGCGCCTGACATTTACAGTTACGAAGAAATAAAGAACAAGCTTCAAACGTGTTTTATTTTATGTCTTTGTTAGAATTGATTGCATTCTTATTTTCGTGCACTGAGGTCATCGAAATTATTTTCACTATATAAGAAACACATATAAATATGCTGGATTCGGTTTACGAATTTATAACATTCCATTTGATTTGAATACGATTTAAGTCAAATGTTAATTCACACCTATAAAACCGACTGTTTTATTACTTTTAGCACCTTGTCAACCGAACATCCAACATGTTTTATATCTTTCGATCGAATTGATTGCATTCCTATTCTTATTGAAATCAATGAGATCATCAAATTCAAACTATCACAATAAAAAAAAACATTAATATAGTTTCATTTAAATACGCTTTTAGTTAAATGTTAATTTACTCCTATAAAACTAATTGTTTATTACTTTATCACCTTGTTAATGAACATTTATCTTGTTTTTTTGTTGCTTTTAAATTGATTTTTATTACTTCAATAATCAATTAACAAATTTTATAATTATTTAAATTAACACTAGATTTCTCTTTGATTCTCTACTAATATAATATATTGTGGTTTCTATAAATCTTTTACTATTTTATTTCACGTATTTTTTATAAATAAAATGTTAAAATTACAATAAATTGTAATAATGTTTAGATGTTTGTCCCTTACATAAACATTGGATGTGAATTATTCGATGTGCATAGAAATATTCGGTAAATTTAATCCATTCAGTAAATAATAGAGCACGTAAATTCGCATTTGCACTGTAATACATTATACGAGTTTTTCCGTGTTTCCGGTTGTTGTAAGTTCGGACTTGCCGTGTTCCTTTTTTTCCATGCGCATTGGGGGGAAACCAGTGGGGGATGGGATCGGCAAATGTGGCTTTAATAAAGTTTCGTTTTGTCAGGATGATGTAAATAGTGCAACTGAATAAAACGAATGCGCACTATTTCGTTGTGTGATTTATTCGCATAATTTGGCTGTCGCTGTCGCGATTTACGGCCGTTTCGGTTGTAAATCCGGGGGGCTAGACCCGCGTCCCCCCTATTTAATTTATCGATCGGGGAGCGGATTTTAGCGAAGCGCCAACAAAAAAAAAACGTTATTATTAAACGATGAGTTGAAAATGTAGAAATATGATAGAAATTGTGTATTGAATAAATAAAGACTTTAATGCATTTGTACTGAGAAATACAGAAAGGCATTCAGCAACAAACCTCTTGTGTAACCGTATTGACATGTAGATGTATGGCTCGTGCATTCGCTTGGAGAAAGATACGAATAAAAAAGTTGCGAGCTGAGAAGAGAGAGGCACGAAGAAGGCGAACAGATGAAAAAAATAAATAAATAAATAAAATGGAAATAAAAGAAGAGGGGAATGAAGAAAAAAATAATTGAATGAAAAGAACTCTGAGACCGTTCTCTCTTAAAGGTTATAAAAGTTGTAGCACAAGGAAATGCGATGTCCTACAAGATCACGACACTAAATTAAATAATAACGTTCCGAGGCTCATCCCTCCGCATTGCGAAAGAGATTTCCAAGGAAACCGTTCGTGAAAATAGCGTTTGCTTAAGGAGAGAAGGAACGAGGATGGACGAGAGCAAACAGCAACAACAACAAGAAGATGATGGAGAGAAAAAAAAGAAGGAATGAGCGGAACGAGTGTGTCAGATGGACGGCAGTCTTTGATTTAAGCCACTTGTCAGTGCCATTCTAAGTATGATATCTCTATAACCATCTGCGGTCCACATAAAGACATCGCGCGGGCATTCTTGAAACATATGTTACTAAAAGGCACTTCAGTACCGCAACCTTTTCTCAGGCTCGAACCAGAGCAAGAGACGAGAGAAAATGGAAGAGAAGAAGAAACGAATAAAAGAGAAGTGCATACATACAGATACACATGCGAGAATAATCGTGGTTTTTCTTCTTCTTCTCTCAGTCGTATCTTCGAGGATTTGAATAGATTTTCCAGCCGCAGACGGGGCTAATTGGAAAGCACCCATTTCGCCGCCCCCCTTTAAAATCCTCAGCCCCGAAAATCCGGCTGCGTCAGAATTATATAAATCGTGCCTCGTAAAGTTTATAGAAATCGATTTCCAAGTTAGATTTCTGCGCGCCGCTCGAGATCTATATAGAAGATAGATTCTAGAATTGTATGTGCAATACTCACACAAAGGGTTTCGTATGTATGTGCACACACGTAGACATTCGAGCCGAGAGAAAGAGGAGCTTTATGGCGCATGGACTTATTTTTCCAAACTAAATCAATACTCGCCAACAGCGCATCCGACACAATATAAAATCCACACTACCGAACACACTTTTAGTGCATCGTAAAATTATATGCCCTTTTCCTAAGGGCAGAAACTCAGAAAAAAATTAGGATGTAACATCAAACAGTTTTTTTTTATTGTAATAGTTATTAGATCATCGAAGAAATCCATCAAAACCATCGTAAATTTTCTCTCTTCATAGTTTTATTATTTATTAGTCCTTTCCCTGAGGACACAAGCAGTACATACGGAAAATCATTTTATTATAAGTAATAATTATAACATCATTGAGCGAATCCGTAAAAAAATACTAATACATTTTTTCTTCTTATAAATTCTTCATCCTTTTTCTAAGCCTTAGAATCTAAGGACACAGATTACAAAAAGAATAAAATTAAGAAAATTTCTATCTAAACAA